TTTTGGCTGAATTGCCTCTTCACTTTTTCTTCATCATCTTCTCTTTCTGCGGTGTTAGGAATATCTTACAAAGCTAGGTAATACGGAGTGCCATCCAGAGCAGTTCCTGAAAAGAAGAGCTTCTTTAGATAAACTGTTGATAATTATTCAAAACGAAGACATCGCCAACCTCATCCATAAGGTATTTCACATAAGTAAACGTGTACTGTAGAAAGCTACTGTTAAAACATAGTGAGACGACCTCATTTTGAGCAAGGCTACTTTCTCCTAACAACATGGCATTTGAGCGATGTCCTGTGTTTAGCTGCCATTTGAAGAAACAAAAATGGTTGTGGTAAATACCTAGTCATGTTCCATCCTACACCCGCAGCTTCCAGCTCCCCGTACGTGCTAACGCGTAGCTGTAGAGTTGTGGAGAGGCCCGAGCGCTTCTGCTCCTGGCTCTGTGATGCTTTAAGGGCAGGGGAGGGCAGCTGTCGGACGGCCTGGGGCGTCCCTGACACTGGGGCTTATGAACCTACCAGTAAAATTATTCCACGTGCTCAACTCCCGTTGTCTCATTCCCGTCATGTTTTTGAGAGAGCACCTCCCAAGGCAAGAGAAAAAAATTCTTTGAAAAATGTGTTTTGAAGTTCAGTATTTGGTATTAGTAAGTAGGAAAGTTCTGTAGTTCCTTTTTTGTGTGCTTTGGTATATACATCTCTGATTTGTAACATTTTTAAACAGATACCTGGCTTAGTAACGTTGAAGAGGCTCTCTTGTGTCAGCTTTGCGGGTGTCGATAGTTTGGATGATGTGAAAAATCACACTTACAATGAATTATTTGTGTCTGGTGGCTTTGTTGTGTCAGATGAATCTGTCCTTAATCCAGAGTCCATCACTACAGGTAAGTGCGCCGCTTTCGGAAGCTGTAGAACACAGACAAAAAAGCCTGATATTTTAGTATAGGAGATGCCATACTCATCGCCGTGGGGACTCCAGTCTTCTAATTTTCAAGTCTTCTAATTTTTGTGAGGTTTTTTGGAAAACTTCAGCTAATTCAGTCTCTTTCTTACCTGAATGGCCTTTCTGGGGAACATGTGAACTTGGAGATCTTGTCTTTCTACGTTTGCGTTAGACTGGGCAGTTATGCTTATGGAACCCTGTATTCCTTACTACTCAATCCACAAATGTGCTAGGAAAAAAAAATGGAAAAAACCTACGTTTTTCTTCACTTTTTCTTTATTTGAAACGGAATAGTTAACGAAGTTACCAGTTTTTTAAATAGATACTTTAGCAAGGCAGAGCACGTATAACTGAATTCAGCTTCTGCGTAAGCAGACACCACTGTCAGGCATCTGACCCAGAAAAAAGCAGCTCAGTTTTGGAATATTGTTGTTGGCCGATCTGCTAGGAAGAAACCCTGCAGTCCTAGGCTAATGTTCCTAGTTGTGTAACCATACTTTGATGAAAACGGAAAGCAGCTTTATGTATATACTGCAGCAGTATTTTCAGTTTGCTTACCACAACATTTAACTTCTATTCACTATCTCCAAAACAGATAAACTAAAACAGTTCTTAAAGTTTCTGGAGGATCTCAATACCCCAGATGGGAAATGGCAGTGGAAAGTCCACTGCAAAATACAAAAAAAACTTAAAGAGCTGGGAAGGTAAGTAGTAGTCTTCAAGTACCGGTTGTTAAAACGCTTCCGCTTTAATTATGCGCTCCAAAACCCAATTACGTAGAACTTACTCTTAGGTCTGTCTTTTGACTTAATTTTAATGTTTAGACTGACCTTAAATCAAGTCTCTTTCTAATAGCGCGCTTTTCCCCCATTACAGAATGAATGCTAACGCCCTGAGTCTGCTGACCCTTCTGAACACCTACCAAAAGCAGCACTTGGTTGAGATTCTGTCTTACCATAACTGTGACTCTCAAACTCGAAATGCTCCTGAGTTAGACTGTCTTATCCGGCTTCAGGCTCAAAACATCCAGCAGAGACATGTTGTCTTCTTAACAGGTAAAACCAAAATTGGTGAACGCTCCTCTCCCTCTTTTGATAACGGATGCTAAATATTAATACAAAATCTCCTTTTATGTATTTAGAAAAGAATCTCAAAACACTTTCACATTATGTTGATAATGGAATAGTGGTTGCTACTGTTGATGACTTTATGCAAAATTTTAAAAGTCTCGTTGGGTATCACAACTCAGTTACTGAAGAAAACAGCCTGCCTCCCTCTGATGCTCACGAAAGACAATCAGGTAATATTAAACGCGCTTACACTCTCTCTAGCTAATGAGCTGTGCGGGGTGGAGGTCCCTGAAATAGCGTGCCTTTCCTCTTGTCAGCGAGCACTACAGCTGGCAAGGAAAACCCAACTCTCAAGCTACTCTTTTTCTGTTGTAAATGATGGGGGAGAAGCAGCTGGGATGGAGGACCAGAGATCTTAAATAGAGAATTGCAGGCTAACGTGGTATTCCTAAAGTTAGGCATATGCCGAAGTGGTGTAACTGTGTCTGTTTTCAGGAAAAGGATAAATTTAATGATAGCTTTTTAGTAACGGTAACAAAAGGACTGAGATGTCAGTGATTGTACTGCTTCAATTGTCTGATCAAATACTCACCTACTGTATAACTTTAGATGCTGTTTTGACATTAACCCCTTTGGAGCTGGGAGTTGGGATTTCCCAACAATAAACATGAACACAATGCGCAGAAGCTTTTAGCATCGGAGTAACTGGACACTCACACAGAGGGTTAAGTGTGTATGTTGAGTAAGTGAACAAGAGTGGCAGAAGACCAAGACTTAAGGGATTTTGGACTTGCAGACCTGAAGCTAACACTGTGTGAGTAGTGTATAGCTTTTCTAACAAAAGTTTGTATTTCAATAGAATAGGACTTTCTCTTTTCTTTAATGTAGTTCTTGTAGAAAACGATGAAAAGGATGAGGAGGACATGTCTCTGGATTCAGGGGATGAAACATCACAAATAGAAATCTGCAATGATGCCTCTGATGCTCAGTTGGGAGCTTTGCAGACAGAGGCCAAGGGCTCACATGGCGTAGGTGCAAAAGAAAGCTGCTTATCAGTTACAGAGTTGTCTCCTGAAGCACAAATTGGCTTGCTGGAAAAGACTTCTAAAATTGACTTGGAAGAGAGACACCCAGTTACTCCAGTTCCTACAACATGCGCGGCTGAAGGAGAAAAACACAATGCAGTTGAACAAACTCCTTTCAGTAACTTCCAGGTTTACAGCAGACAACTAAACATGTCCCACCAGTTCAGTCACTTCAACGTACTCACTCATCAGACTTTTCTGGGAACAACATACCCGATTTCTTCGGCAAGTCAAAACCAAGAAGGGGGCAATTATTTTCTCTCTGCTTACAGTCAGAGCATGGATACAGAAAAGTCGTCGTCGCCTGGTGGTTGGGATATAAATTGCGATTCCTCCAGGCCATACTCAAAACAGAAATAAACTCGTAAGTCTCTTTTTATAAGTTGCTGTGGACTTTTCTGTTTCTAAAATGGTGGATTAACAATTTCTATTTTATTCTGGAACAAAATGTTTCTTGTCCTTTATCTCAAATGTTTTCTTGTCTTATTTAAATCCTGATGGCCTGTACCTGTTGGAAGCATCTGAGAATTGAAATAAATATATATATTTTTTAACATTTACTGTACTTGAATTATCTTGTTGGCTGGCACTTTTAAGTTTCTACATTTGTATTTGACCTGTACCCGGGCTTCAGTTTGAGGTCTGTTTTAATGTAAAACTGAATGTTTGCCTAAAATGTGTGAAACAGCGAGGTTTTTTTTTTTTTAACTGTAAGAGTATACAAATCACTTTTCTTTACATAAATATCAAAACTTATGTATTTATTTGACATTTGACACAAATTTTGTACAAATGTTTTTACATAGCTCTAAGGTAGTGTAGTTATTTTAATGACTATATACTGGATTTTGGCTAAATACCTCAATTAGAGTAACCAATGGTGCAGTTCCATTACAAAAATAAAATAAACTCGTAATGCACAAGGGACTTGCTAACACAGTGCATCGTCTGTGGTTTTTCTGTTTTCACAGTATGTGAGAAACCCAAACCTCAGTTAATGAGCAGCAATTATCTTTGCGTCCGATTTTGATACTCCAGGCTTACTACAGCACCGTCAGCACCACCTTACAACTTCTATCTTGCCGTTGTAATTACTATGGTGAGAGAAGGACAAGCCTGGGTTTAATGACTGTGGTAGGGCCCTTTGCATGAGAAGAACCTCAGCCCTCTCCCACTCCAGCAGAATGATTACTGGTGCCTTTTCCCCCCCCCCCCTTTTTTGTTTTTTAAACTAGCATTGTCGTAACTGCAGGATTTAATCTGTTTCTTAATCTTGTCCTTTTTAATTTCACATCTGCTGAGTTATAAACTTCTTTTTCCCCAGTGATTCTCTCTGAATTGGCTCATTTTGTACATCATCTTTTGACTCAGGCTTCTGGAAAACAGCAGCTGACCGTCGACAGCCTTGTTATTTCCTTGCTGGGGTTCTCTATACGAATACTCACCTCATCATTTACTGCTCGTCTTCAAGTTGTCCAAAGTCATGTTTGGGGTTTTTTTCCTGTTCGTTATTTAATTTTTAGTGCTTTTATGTAGAACGTGCAGTTTAGTACCAGATGACAGTGTCTGAAACTGTATGATTCTAAACTTACAAAATTAGTCCGGACAAATACTACTGGTTAAAAAAGGGTAGCTTTTAAAAACCAAACAAAAAAACCCCATAGACTTTTCCCTGAAGTTGAATGTCTTTCCTTCTAGCAATAGTTGATAGTTGTTTATTTATTTGTTTAAATGAAGAACAAACCAGCACTAGGCTAGCGTAGCAGTTGTTACCTTCCTCCCCCCACCAAACACGGCAAATAAATCATCTTTTTTCCCAAAAAAGAACTCCCTCGGATCAATAAACCTGAAAGAATTTTTGAAGAGCTGTTCTACCACCTAGACCATCGAGCGCCGATTCTCACCAACTGCCCGGCTCGGCGCAGGCGCGAGGGAAGAACGCGCCGCTGTTCCTTTCGCCACTGCTGGGAGATCCTGTCGGCGTCAGGTTATGCCTAGGACCAGTCGCTGCGGTGTTTATCACGTGGTACCACGACACAACTACCGCCTTCAGGCTGTGCATCTTCTGCAGAGGTCTAGAAGAGAAACAGTTTTACCCCAGTTTTACCTGCCTTTTGAAGATGAAAAGCAAATTAATCTAAAGTAAACACTGAATTCTGGCGGGAAGCACTGACCACTGATCTCTTCAGCCCTTGTTGGTAAGAAAACTTCCTTAACCTGAGCTGCGCTGCCTTGGGCCCAGCCCACGGTGGCGTTAAGTGCTGCTCTCCTCTTCTAAGGGAGAGTTTACAGCCAGCACTTTTATGGTCTTAAGATCTGGGATGACTTGAGTTAATACGCATTGCTGAAGCCTAAAAGCTGTCTGAATAGTTAAGTACAAGCAGTTTCGTATAGTTAAAAATACCAACAAAGTCTACCCAAGCCATTCAGAATACACCTTAATATTTTTATTTATCAAAATACATGCACCGAGTTCTACAAAAACCCAGGTAACGTTTTTATACAGTGTTTTGGTCGTTTATATTAAATGGACATATGTCTTCAGGTAGCACGAAGACTGTTCTAAACAGACACACTATCATTAGTTTAACGTATCTCCAATATGAAAAGCAACATAACCCTGTAATCTATTAAAATTCACATCATCTAGATCTTTCATAAAAAAGATAGAGATGGTTTGTAACTAATTACAGTAGCAAAGTGCTGTGCCTTTATGTTTTTAAGACTTCAGAACATTCACGCGTACCTCTCAAAACGGCGAAATAAAGGTCTCTTCTGGAGCTACAGCAGGAA